GCCTCTAATTATATTTTGAGACAATATAATTCACTTGCCTGAAACTATGTTATGGGACTATATAATATGTCACGCCCCGGACCTCCCCGGACACGTCAACAACCCGCCGTACAATACGAATAGTCAACCGCAGTCCAACACATTCATATTATACAAGGCGTCTCGAATATCATTCTCACGTAAGCCATCCATAAACAAACATAATAAGTAATTCATAATGCAGCGGAAAACATTGTTTAAAACAAAAAGGCCACACCGGGCTATTCATGAGCACGCAGGCTCCATAGTAAAATATCCATGAGCATGTTTATTAATGTTTAAAATCCGAATGGAGGAAGCACGAACCAAGTCTTCGCTCCTAGATGATCTCTCGAGCAACGAGCACAGGAAGCAAGCTCTAGCCTCAACCTGAAAAATGGTGGTGGGACGCCCCCGAAGGGGTCAGCACTCTATAGGGCTATAAAGTGCTGGTGTGGATGGCATCTAATAGATATACAACAAGTATTTCAAACACAAGACCCTCAAATAGGGTGATAATATAATCTAGGCCGTAACCCCAAGTTACCCCGTTTTAAAATGTACTTACTTTATATATAAAGTCAAGTAGTCGGCCCGTAGGCCCAAGGTTTGTTTATCAAACATACCCCAAAATCCCGTGACCCCTAGTCACAACAATACATAGGGTTCAACCCTAACACATATGTTTGCATTCTCGAGTCCAACTCGACTACATCACCATGCACCTTAATTAACATGAGCTAACTACTCCACCGTGCATTTCTCGAGTCCAACTCGACTACATCACCATGCACCTTAATTAACATAAGCTAACTACTCCACCGTGCATTTCTTGAGTCCAACTCAACTACATCACCATGCACAACAATTAACTCATCATGTCTACCCAATGCAATTCTATGAGCACGGCTCAAGTACATCTCCTTACATTGGCATAGACCCCAACTCCTAAGCACTCACTATGCCTAGAATTGTAATATCAATAATCTATTTTGGGACATCCCTACGGACTGCCCAACCATGATCTTAGCATCACATTACATCAAATTTGTCACTTGCATCACAATCAAGTACATCAATTATAATCAAATCCTTAGATTCAATTCCCTTAACAATTACAACAATCATTAACTAGTATTTCAATACTATTAAGATTATTCTTATCCATCATATATTCCATTTGTAAAACCCTACATATTTAGAGATATGTAGCAGCAACTTAATCATTCAATGTAATACATAAATAATCATTTATGTATCTACACAATTCACACATGAGTAAAATGACTATTTCACACAATAGTTCATTTAACTCCATTTTTATCAATACTTTGCCGAATCATTTCTCATTTCATTCTTTGGAAAATAGATCAATATTCCATCAATAATTTATCATCATAATTCATGGAAAAACATGATTTTGGCATTTAGGTAATCTCATGCTTAACCTACAAGTTGTAAGCAACTAGATGTCGGTCCTCACCTCAAATGAGCTTTAAAACCTCCCTTCTCGATCCAATGACCAAAGCCTCGGCCAAGGAAGATTGGAAACTAGTTCATTGCTTGAAAATGGGTGCTAAACAGCCTCCTCAAGTTGCTATTTCAACCCTGAATTGTTGATACGAAAACAGCCCCTAGAACGGGTGTTTTCCGGCTAACTCGATTCCTAGTTTTCCAATATTTGCATCTAGGTTAGTATCTATGTAACACCGCCCCCAAGTATTTGTACTTTATCAAATTATGTATTGAACCCGAGAAATGAATAAACGCATTTTACGTGATTGTGAATTTTTATCATTTCTTTTACGTGAATAGTAAAATTCATGTGGGGCCCACACCGGAAGTGGGGGCCGCCCGATATGTTCGGGACCACATATTATATTCATTTGGATCAAGGTAACATGAGTATAATGGTGGGCATCCTTGTTGGACCATATAAATTATGTGAGTAACCGTTTGGGCATATAAAGCCCATTTATCGGTACTGAAGGAATATCAGATAAAAGGGCCATAATAAATTATGGAGACCATCAAATTAAAGATGGGAACATACATTCATTCTTATAGCCAATATTAATTGGAAGAGTGATAGATATTTCATTTTACCCGATAAAATGAAATATAGTTAAAACAGTCCGGAAAATACAACTTTCGGGACCAAGTGTACACTTGGGGACACAAAGGGATGACCTCCCACATATGTGGGGGCCACCCCACGAAATCATTGGAGACAAATGGAGGAGGTGGGCGGCTGGAGTGATGGAAGGAGGATGGGAAGGGTTGACTTGAGGGAAATGGCATCAAGTAAGGACATTGGGGACCATAGCCACATTATTTTGGAGGTAAAAGCCAAAGGATAACCATATACTCTCCCCTTAGCCAATACATCCGACCCTATCACTCATTTTTGAGAGAGGAGCTCTGCAAAATACTATCTCCACCATTTCCATTCGAACCAAGTTCAAGGAAGAAGAAGAAGGACAAGGAGGGGAGGAAAGAGGAGGAAAACTTAAGGATTACCAAGGTAATGACTTCATTAACCTCATTCCTTTTTCCTTAATCCTCCCATATGATTATATAATCATGTTCCAGACCCCTAGGGTCACTATACATGTTATATGTGAAGAATAAGGGGTTGGAAGGTTGGTTCATATCCAAAACGGATTTAGAGAACAAAGTTGACCGGTTTGCCGGGAAATAACCTTTTAGAGGTTATTTGTATTGATATGGGTTTTATGATGATAAAACCTTGTTATTAACTTGTATAAGGTATTCCAAGAACTTTCACGGAGTTGAAAGGGGTCGCCGGAGTTGTCGCCGGAGTTAGTTGAAGTTCACCGGAGTTTTACCGGAGCTCAATAAGGAAGGCTAGAACTTCATAAGCTTCTTTTAAGGTGAGAAGACGGCTATATGCCTTATAACTTTTGATTGAGGCATGAGATTACCTAAAGTAATCAAGGATATGTTTTACGGAATGATTAAAGTTAATCAAGTATGAGCTTATGCCATGAATATATATAAAACAAAGTTGAAAGGCATGTTTGTATGTTTGGTGATTACAAATGTGATAACTTATTATGTACAATGATCCAGGGGTCAAAAATGGTATTTTTGGATCAAGGACTTCAAGTAGAATGTGCATATAAAATTTCACGTTAATCGGACTTCGTTTGGGCGGTCAAACGGGCGTTGACCGCCGAGACAAGGGTGATACCCGACCGGGTAAGATGGATACCCGACCGGGTATTGATTAAAAATGGCTCCAGAAGCCACTGCCACACTAGACCCGACCGGGTAAGGTCATGGACCCGACCGGGTCTCAAGTAAAGTTGTTTCCAGGGGCTTCTGACCCGTCCTACCCACCCGGGTAAGGTGGATACCCGACCGGGTATTGGTTTATACTCAAAACGGGTAGCTTTTGAGTAGGATAACGTGGACCGATCAGGTGGGACCCGTCCACGTTGGTTACTAAGGATTATTATATGACTATAGGACTAGGTATTGTCCATAGTTAAGTGAATGAAAGGTTAGCCATATCCAGGTTAGGGTTTGGTTAGAAATAAGGGTGAGGTTGAGTATCCTCGGGACGGTAAATGATCCCAAAACTCGGTGAGGTTGAGTATCCTCGGGACGGTAAACAATCCCAGAAACTCGGTGAGGTTGAGTATCCTCGGGACGGTAAACAATCCCAGAAACTCGGTGAGGTTGAGTATCCTCGGGACGGTAAACAATCCCAGAAACTCGGTGAGGTTGAGTATCCTCGGGACGGTAAACAATCCCAGAAACTCGGTGAGGTTGAGTATCCTCGGGACGGTAAACAATCCCAGAAACTCGGTGAGGTTGAGTATCCTCGGGACGGTAAACAATCCCAGAAACTCGGTGAGGTTGAGTATCCTCGGGACGGTAAACAATCCCAGAAACTCGGTGGGGTTGAGCATCCTCGGGACGGTAAACAATCCCAGAAACTCGGTGAGGTTGAGTATCCTCGGGACGGTAAACAATCCCAGAAACTCGGTGGGGTTGAGCATCCCCGGGAGGGTAAACACTCCTGAAACTCGGTAGGATATTATGAAGGTAGAATGTAGCTCTCAAGCTAGGCATTCAGGAATGGAAAGGGGATAGGTTGGGAAGTACCTTATCTCTAAAAGACTCTTTGAGATAAAACGACCTACGGGTCAAGTATTTTACAAGTATATACAGTATGTATTATCTTGGGAACGGGGTAACAATGGTTACACCTATAAGTATATGTATCACCCTATTTTTGGGTCTCGTGTCTGAAACATTAGTTATTCCTCATATAGCCTGCTTGTCACTAGTACTTCTATGGAGTACTGACCCCTTCGGGGGCCCTCACATTTTTCAGGTTGAGGCTAGAGTCCTACTACCTGCACCTTTGCCTAGGGTGATTGATCAAGGAGGAAGACGTGGTTCGTGCTTCCATTCTCATTTGAAATAATGCAACTGCTCATGGATAATTTTAACAATGTTTTCTATTAAAACATTTGGGGGGCCTGCGTGCCCGTATTTGCCACGTGTGGCTAAGTATCAAACATATCTTATTTTCCGCATTTGTTTGACTAATATATATTGATGTTGATTGTATGGGTTTACTAATCGGTTTGGCAAAAGAATCTAACGGACGCCTTGTATGATCTGATAAGAATGAACTACGTTGCTCTTATTGGGTTGTACGGCGGTTGTCTACGTGGCGCAGACGCGGTCCGGGGCGTGACAATTAAGTGGTATCAGAGCCAGGTTTTCTAAACTATATAATTAACCTCTCAATATAGGATCATCAAAAAGTTTTGAACAAAACCATGAGCAAAAGTTTTTGTACTTAAGGAACCGTTGGAAACCAAATTATTGACCTCTTATTGTTAAGACGGTACCCTTAACAGTTTGTTGGCCATAATGTTGGACCAAGTGGTGTCTTTTGTACTATTCCGTCAATCGACATTGATACGAGTCTAACGGCTCATTTCAAATTTCTTTCAGAAATGGAGGGTAGACGCATGGGTACGAGGAACAACCCGAGAGGGCAAACTCCGGTGACGTCCGAAGGGGTTAGCCAGGTTGCATCTCGGGGCGCGAGAGGCGGTAGGAGAGGCCGTGGAGGCCGTGGAGGCCGTGGAGGCCGGGGAGGTCATCGGGCTCAAACCGTGAGCGATGGCCATGTTAGCTCGGTGCATGGGACTCACACCGAGGATTACGACTCTACATATGTTCCCGAGACGGAACATGAGGAGACCCCATATGATGGGGGTGATACGTACACCGATGATGATGACAATGATGAGAGTGATGCCAAATTCGCCCAGATGGGTGAATTGTTTGAGTGGTATCAAAAGGAAAAGCTGAGGCGAGATCTTAGGCGCCAAGCTAGGCGTGCCTCTCAGGGGGCTTCAGGTCACGGGAGCCGGGGGGCATCCGTGGCTACACCTGTGGCGTCACAGGGAGTACAGGGCGGAGGTTTTTGTGTAAGAATCTCCAAATACCTCAAGGAGGCTAGGGCCTTGGGGTGTAAGTCATTTGATGGCAAAGGCGACATATCTGTGGCTGCTGATTGGATCAAGAAACTGAACGAGGCTGCTAGGGATATGCAGATCGGGCTTGATATAAAGCTAACGATTGCTACCAGGCTACTGGAGGGGGTAGCTGCTGTATGGTGGGAAGGCGTGGAAGGAAAGTTCCACGGTGAGACCACCTGGGAGAGATTCGAAGTAGAGTTCTATAACCAGTACTACTCCGAATTTGAGAAGAATCAGAAAAGGAAGGAATACATGACTTTGACACAGGAGGATGGGTGCTCGGTAAGGCAATTGGAACAGAGGTTCCGGGACTTGGCGCGATACATACCTGAGTACGCCATGGATGAGAACCGCATGGCTAATCACTTCTGGGATACCCTACAGTTGGATATCCGTGATAGGGCCACCTACAATCATCACATGACCTTTAGTGAGATTGTGGATCAAGGGCTACTTGGGGAAGCCAAGTGGAATGAAAGGAAGAAGAGAGACGCCGAAGAGGCGAAGAAGAGGAGATGGGGAAATTCTGGACCCCAAGACCATTCTCGGAAACATCACGCCGGGAATGGAAGTTCATTTAGGGCGCCGGAACCACCGGCAAAGAAGAGCAAGGGTCCAGGAGGGCAAGGGCACAGCTCGGGGAGCAGGTGCCTAAACTGTAACAAGAATCATGCCGGGAAATGCAATGCACCACCCCGGTGCTACAAGTGTGGTAGTACTAGTCACCTCAAGCTTTCTTGCCCAATGTTGAATGGAGGGGGACCATCGGGGGCTATGGAAGGACCTACGGCTAGTAGGGGACGTGCGGGACCATCACAGGCCGGCACGGGAAGGGGCGGACCTACGGCGAGCAATGCCGCGTCCGTTAACCAAGGGAGGACCCAGGCACGTGTGTATGCAATGACCGAGGCGGATGCGCGAGCAAACCCGGACTCTGTTGCAGGTAATGTACTAGACCTTATATGTTTCTAGGCTTATATTAAAGTTATAAGTCCTAGGGGTCAATTGCAAACTGACTTAGGGTCGAATCGGGGGAAATTCAACGAAACCGGGCTGATACCCGACCGGGTAAGACGGGTCACCCGACCGGGTCTACCGAGATTCTGGCCTGGTAAACCCACTGGAACGGATACCCGACTGGGTATAGTAGGCTACCCGCCCGGGTATGATGGAATTTTATACCCGCCGGGTTCTGGAATGGATACCCGACCGGGTACATCAGGTTACCCGACCGGGTTTGCCAAATTTCCATACCCGTTGGTGTTACCAGACCGGGTATAACAAGAGGGATGTCTCTGGATTGGATACCCGACCGGGTACAAAGCTGTACCCGACCGGGTATTGCTATATATTTTAAGTACGGACTTTTTCGGGGGCCTACAGTTCAATTTTGGTAGGCAAAGTACCTTACATGACTTATAAATGTAGGAACGTTAAAGATTAATGGAAGGGATGCGAGGATCCTTATCGATACGGGAGCACAACGTTCATTCGTTAGTGAGGTGTTTGCCATGGATTTAGGCACATCTTTAACACCAATGACGCAAACCCTATTGGTGTCTACGCCTCTAGGGGATGACGTCGAACGAAATGACTACTATCCTTCATGTGATGTGGAGATAGGGGAGCACTGTCTAAAGGGGGACTTCGTACCACTAGCCATGCTTGAGTTTGATGCCATACTTGGCATGGATTGGCTTGAAAAGCACCATGCAAAGGTAGATTGCTACACCAAGGTGTTAGAACTCAAGGATGGTGAAGGAAATACTGTATGTTTCAAGGGAGATAGAGAAAAATTCAATCCTTGCATCATATCGACCATACGAGCAAGGCGTATGATGAGGAAGGGATGTCAAGCTTACTTAGCCTATGTCATAGGCAAGGAAGGCAAAGGAAAGAGCCTCACGGAGGTGAGGGTGGTGAGTGAGTATCCAGAAGTTTTCCCTGAAGAACTCCCGGGACTTCCACCAGATCGGGAGATCGAGTTTGAGATTGAGGTTGAACCAGGCACCAAGCCCATCTCAATTCCTCCGTATCGAATGGCACCGGCTGAACTTCAAGAGTTGAAAGTTCAATTGGAAGAGTTACTAGATAACGGGTTCATTAGACCAAGTCATTCACCATGGGGAGCACCTGTACTCTTTGTAAAGAAGAAGGATGGCACAATGAGAATGTGTATCGACTACCGTCAATTGAACAAGGTCACGATAAAGAACAAATATCCTTTGCCAAGGATTGACGACTTGTTTGATCAATTGCGGGGGGCAACCGTGTTCTCCAAGATCGACTTGAGGTCGGGATACCATCAACTAAAGATCAAGGAGAGTGACATACCCAAAAGTGCATTCCGTACAAGGTATGGTCACTATGAGTTCCTAGTGATGTCGTTCGGGCTTACAAATGCCCCCGCGGCATTCATGGACCTCATGAACCGGGTATTTCATCAATACTTGGACCAATTCGTCATAGTGTTCATTGATGACATTTTGATATACTCCAAGAACGAAGAAGAACACGAGAAACATCTAAGGCTCGTACTTGGAACACTGCGGGAGAAGCAACTCTTTGCCAAATTCTCTAAGTGTGAATTTTGGCTTGGGGAGATCGGTTTTCTCGGGCACGTGGTATCAGGTTCGGGCATTTCAGTTGATAACTTGAAGATTGAAGCAGTCACTAATTGGGAGAGGCCCAAGAATGTGAAGGAAATAAGGAGTTTCCTTGGTTTGGCGGGGTATTACCGCAAATTCGTGGAGAAGTTCTCCGTAATAGCATCTCCACTCACGAAGCTCACCAAAAAGGGAGCTAAGTTTGTGTGGGATGACAAGTGTGAGAAGGGGTTTCTTGAGCTAAAGAAACGGTTGACTGAAGCACCAGTACTTGCTCTACCCGTGCAAGGGTTGGGGTATGACATCTATAGCGATGCTAGCATCCAGGGGCTTGGGTGCGTACTGATGCAATCGGGGAAGGTAATTGCTTATGCTTCTCGGCAACTGAGGAAGCATGAAGTGAATTACCCCACACATGACCTTGAGCTAGGAGCTGTGGTATTTGCTTTGAAGATTTGGAGGCATTACCTCTACGGTGAGGTGTGTCACATCTATACTGATCACAAAAGTTTGAAGTACGTGTTCACTCAGAAAGAGTTGAACATGAGGCAGAGAAGATGGATGGAGTTAATCAAGGATTACAACTTGATCATAGATTATCATCCAGGGAAGGCTAACGTGGTTGCTGATGCTCTCAGTAGGAAAAGTTCATCAGGAGTCTTACTCACATGCTTACGAGCATTGAGGGCACACGTGGAGGTATCCACGAATGGGGCCTTATTGGCCAGATTTGAGGTGAGACCCACCCTATTAGACGAAATCAGAACGCGTCAAGGCAATGACGAGGAAATTCAGAAAATCCGGGAACGGATGCTGGTGGGACCCGTCGAGGGTTTCCGTGAGAGAGAGGATGGACTCCTACTATTCAAGGAGCGAGTGTGTGTGCCGTCAGATGAGGAGCTCCGAAAATCTATTCTTGAGGAGGCTCACTCATCTGCGTATGCCATGCATCCAGGTGGAACAAAGATGTACCGGGACTTGAAAGAAAGTTACTGGTGGTCGGGGATGAAGAGAGAAATTGCAGAATATGTGAGCCGTTGCCTTACCTGTCAGCAGGTTAAGGCAGAGCACCAGCACCCGGCAGGATTATTACAGCCACTTACCATCCCAGAATGGAAGTGGGAGCATGTTACTATGGACTTCGTGGTAGGTTTGCCACGGACGGTTAGGAACTTTGATGCGGTATGGGTGGTGGTTGATAGGTTGACCAAGAGTGCCCATTTTCTACCTATCAACACTACTTATACGCTTGAGCGACTGGCCAAGTTGTATACAGATGAGATCGTGAGACTACATGGGGTTCCGGTCACTATAGTGTCGGATAGAGACCCACGGTTCACATCACGGTTTTGGCCTAAGTTCCAGGAATCCATGGGGACGAAGTTGAGATTTAGCACAGCTTTCCATCCCCAAACGGATGGGCAATCTGAACGGGTAATTCAGATTTTGGAGGACATGTTGAGGGCATGTGCCCTGGAGTTCCAAGGAAGTTGGGATAACCAGTTGGCTTTGGTAGAATTCGCCTATAACAACAGTTATCAGGCAAGTATAGGCATGCCTCCATACGAGGCATTGTATGGGAGGAAATGTCGAACACCCTTGTGTTGGGATGAGGTTGGCGAGGCCAAGCTTGAAGGCATCGAGCTAGTAGAAATCACCAAGGAGAAGGTGAGGGTCATTCAGGATAGACTCAAGGCTGCCCAGGATCGGCAGAAGAGCTATGCAGATAAACGACGAAGGACATTGGAGTTCGAGGTCGGCGATGAGGTATTCCTGAGGGTGTCGCCTTGGAAAGGGATCATCAGGTTCCTTAGTCGGGGTAAGCTTAACCCACGCTACATAGGCCCATTCAAAATCATTGAAAGAATTGGGGTTGTAGCGTATCGGCTTCAGTTAACTCCAGAATTGGAAAAGATTCATAACGTATTTCACGTTTCCATGCTCAAGAAGTATGTACGGGACCCGTCACATATTCTTGAGAAACCACCGGTAGAAATCCGGGAAGACCTTCACTATGCGGTGCAGCCGGTAAAGATCATGGACCGACAGGTAAAGAAGCTAAGGAGTAAAGAGGTACCGATGGTGAAGGTGCTTTGGAAGAGTGATCGTGTCGAGGAGCAAACTTGGGAAGTGGAGACCCTGATGAGGGAACAGTATCCATTTCTGTTTGACTAGA